GTTACTCATAGCGGGCCCTCGGACCAAGCCTCGTTCATGGCAGCTGTGTCCAAACATTTTCAAGCACAACCGTTGAACCAGAGCTTGACCATCCAGTGCCACAAGCGCAAGCCGACCAAGAAGGGCTTGACTTGTTGTTTTACTTGCAAAACACATTGCGATGAGAAAAAAGGCCGCAAGGACTGTCCATGGTCGGGCATGGCCACCCTCAACACACAGGCAGATCCTCCGCAAATTCTCATCCGCACTTCGCCCTCATCAGCGCATGCGCCCGATGAGAAGCGGTTGTGGGGCACACTCACCCACAGGCAACGCACTTTGGTCTCAAGCACAAGCCACCAGGCGCGATTGCGCACGATTGACGGCCTTTTAGCGAACATGCGGCCGCGGAAGGCAGGTGACACCAAGCCTAAAAAACCAAACTTGCGCCAACTTCAAGGCTTTCTTCAGCGCTTTAGACAGAAGACAAAGGCACAGAGCAAAGAGATTCCCCATAGCAACAAGCAAACCTACTCTGCAGCAGACTTTGAATATCTGCGTGACCGCCTCAACGCAGACATGGGTCGAGCCACTGCCATCTCACCAACGGACTCTCGCCTTCGCCCCTCGGACCGGCAGCTCCGCTGCATCGATTTGCATTTGTCCGAAGACATGGTCTGCGCTCCCTTGATATGCCCACAGCTTCTCCACTTGACTTTGGACCTCCTCCCAAAACCTTGGAATTTGAAGTTCTCAGCTGATGGTACATATCGCTTGTTGTTCGGCCAGTACACCCTCCTCACACTGGGGGTGAATGTGAAGAACTGGTCCCAGCGCAAGAGCAATCATCATTTTGCCTACCGCTCAAGCTTCCGACCTTGCTTTTGCCCTGGCAAACACAGAGGATGGTGATGCCTACAAGCATCTTCTAGCCACCCTCCTGCGGACAGCAAACACTTTGGGGCATGACTTGCAGCCGCAGCACATTACGCAGTTTCATGGGGATATGCACAAGGGCCTTGAAAAAGCACGACAGGACATCCTCCCCAACAGCCAACGTCTGGCCGACTGGGCCCACGTTACAGGAGCCACAAGCCAGGGCCCTAGCGGGTTGCATGGCCTGCTCTCCAAAAGCCTCGGCGATGACAAGCACATCACCAGCATGATTCTGCAATGGTGCCGCCTTTCCAAAAGAATGACTGCCATGCTCTTCCACGTGGTGTGGTCAGCTCTGTTCGATTACTTGGGTCACCTGGGGCATGCACGCTTGGTTGTCTCACTTCAACACCAGTACTTCCACCAAACAGCCTGTCCACAGCGTCTCTGGTCAGCCCCATGGCGGTCAGGCCCTGACCGCATCATGCCAGGCACAGATGTCGGGTCAGCCCCACAAGAAAGCTGGCATGGGAACGTGCTCAAACCGTCGTTTCCCACCACCAAGTACGAGCCCATTGAAATTGCAAACAAATTGCAAGCTTTCATCGTTGAGCCTGCCCTCCTGGACTTGGAGGAAATGGCACAAGCAGGCAAAGCATTGCAAGATTGGCCATCCATCGGCCAGTTCATCGACCAGCACACGCTGCGCAACGCATCGAGTTTGGCAGCAGAAGGCCGTTCCACACCTCACTCATTGCTCGAGCTGGGCTTCCATCAAACATTTGTGGACGCTGACAACAACTGCTGGATGCTGGTTCCTGCCTCACGCTGGAAGGTGGATTGGACAGGAGCACGCCCAAACCAGAAAAAGAAGCAATACAAGGAACGGTCTTTCTCCCCACTCGCGCCCTCCACAGTCAATGCCTGTGTCAAGCTGGTGCAGGCCACAAGCCCCGACCAAGTTCGAAGCATCCTTGACAGCTTGGGTTTGTATGAGTCCACCACCGGACACTTTCAGTGGCAAAAGGCTGCCAAGCTCTTTGACGATTGGAACTTGGTGGTGCAAGGCCCAATTTGCGAGCAGTACTGGCAACTGCATGGCGCGCCACTTTGCCCGGAGGCGGATCGCAATCCACATGCTTTTTGCCTGTGCTTCAATTGCGGTGTGGCCGCACGCTGGGGGCCATGCGAGCACGCGTACTCCCTCATGCTCCACCAAAACACCATCGATGTGGTCCAGCTGCCGCGTCCACGGCCCAAGGGCCGGCCAAAGACACGCTCACAGCATTGTCCGCACGGTGGCACCCTGACTCCAGGGCCAGCTGTCTCGAGAGCTTCTCCAGCCACGCCTCTCTCCGCAGATGTACTTCAGTCGCAGGCCTTGTCTGCTTCGGAGTCCGTCCTGCGAGAATTGCTCCGTCGCGCCGGCTGCGGCCACTACTTCCCGGCCATGAAGCGGCACGGCGCGACGGTCCAAGCTCTTTCATCCTTTGGCTTTGCTGATTTCGTCACGATCTTCGGCATGAAGGTTTCCGAAGCTCACATTTTGATGTCGACCTTGAAAGACGAGGCTGGGAGCATTTGTGCGAAAGAACTTTGGAGCTGCCACCATGTTCTTCTCACTGACATTTCCATATACTTTCAAGATTTTGCGTGAGGCATCAGCAAGTGCGGTGAAGACCTTAGTGCTACTGCTTGTTTCTTTTTGTATGCCTCCAACAACAAGATTTTGCCTGAGGCGTCAGCAAGTGCAGTGAAGACCTTAGTACTACTGCGTGTTTCTTCTCGTACGCCTCCAACAACATGCTTGAAGCGCGCAGGCCAGAAGAGCAGAAAACATGCCACACAGCGGGGTCAGGGCCTCATACCTATACCGCCCAACTGTCGCCACTTTCCCCATAGTAGGGCTGTCGCTTTGCCGTAATCTTTTGCTTTTCTTTCTTTTGCATTCCTTGAGGAAAACTGCCAACATAGCGGCCCGCAGGCCTGTTACATCCAAGCTTTTGGCTCCAACTGTTTACGCATGTTCGATTGGCCCGGGCTGTCATTTTCTTCTCGCTACCTTTCTTCATCTTAGATGTGAGGCGTCAGCAAACGTTGTGAAGACCTTAGTGCTGCTGCGTGAAAGAACTGTAAATATGGCACTGCAATTCTCAGCCAACATCTCCTTTTGAGATTTCCTTTAAGCCGCGTGTGAGGTATCAGCAAGTGTTGTGAAGACCTTAGTTCTGCTGCGTGTTTCTTTTCGTACTCCTCCAACCGCATGTTCGAAGCGCCCAGGCAGGCAGACCCGAAAGTATGCCACACAGCGGGGTTAGGGCCTCAAACCTATCGCCCATGGCTGTGCGAGCTTTTGCTTTTGGTTCTTCGCCTCTCCGTCAGGAAAACTGTCCACATACGGCTCCGCAGGCCTGGAACATAATATGCTCGATTGGCTTCAGCTATCAGATTCTTCCCATTGAGATTCCTTGTCACATGAGAGGCTTCAGCAAGTGTTGTGAACACCTTAGTGCTCCCTGCGTGTCCCTTTTCGGGCGCATCCAACAACATGTCGAAAGCACCCAGGCCAAAAGAGCACAAAGTACGCCGCAAAGCGGGGTCCGGGCCTCATGCTGTCTGTACTTTCGCCACTCGTGCCGTAGTAGGGCTGTCGATTTGCCATTCTCTTTTGCTTTTCTTCTTTTGTCCTCTCTTAGGAAGCCTGTCCAGATAGCAGTCCGCAGGCCTCGTACTAGTTTGTGACTTCTTCAATTTTATCGATGTTCCTTTAGCTTTTCGATCAGCCATGTCTTTGGAGGCCTCGCCTCGTTTGTGGAGAGCTCCTTCGGCTGCACAATGCGTTCCGCTTACTCCTGTCTGCACCCTCATACTCTTGCTTGCTTCTAAGGGCCTGTCTCAGCGTGACCGGCTACTCGCACTACGCCGGGCACACGCGCTGTAAAAAGGATTTGCGCCAGAGCTTCTCATTGTCGTCCAAACTCATGGCTGCATGGTTGCTTGCATGGCCACCTGCATTTAGCCACCAGAACCCAACGAACGCCACCTAAGTGGAGATGCGAAGGGCTCTACTCAGCTAGCAATGAATAAGGGCCAAACCTTCTGACCCCAAATATGTCTCCTACGCCAGTTCTCTTTCTCTTTGCTCTTTCTCAAACTCTGTGATAGGTCGGAATTTCTCTGTCACCTACACTATTCCAATGTATTTTGCCAGCTATAACACCTGTGTCTCTGCTACGGACACGACATTGATGTAATTGGCTAGGAACTACAAAGAAACCTGCATTATTCCAATGTTTTTTGCCAGCTACGACAGCCCTGTCTCTGCTAGATATACCAAATTGGTCTAGTCAGCTAGCAAAACATATGTAACCTGCACTATTCCAATGTATTTGGCCAGCGACACCTGTGTCTTTGCTAAGGACACGAAATTTCTGTAATTAGCTAGGAATTAATAAGAAACCTGCTCTATTCCAATGTTTTTATTTTGCCCGCTACGGCAGCTGTTTGTCGTGCAAGGACCCTCAATTGCGGCAATTAGCAGGAAAATGTCAACCGGATGATTCTGAAAAAAATTCAACCAAAAAAATGAAAAAAATCCCAAATTAAAAGCGTACCCTTTTTTTGAGGCTCGGTTATTTATTTAGAATCACACCCCCTGGTGTTCGGGTTCTGCATCGAGCCACCCCCTATTTTCGGAGGGCAAAAACCCGGGTGAAGGACTGGTGGGGCAGTGATGCACCTTCCTTATTATTCGGTTGATGTGAAAGAAAGAAGCTGCCCCTGCGGCCTAAGCCTCCAAATCAGGCATTGACCAGGGATATTTGGTATGCGAATGCGATCCACTTTTTCATACTTTTTCATGTTCATGGGAAATTAACAGTATGGGAATCGGACAATGCAGAGACCCTGTAGATTTCTGTAGATTCTGTAAATTGTCCTCGTTCAGGCTTCAGGTGCCAGGGTGACCGCAGCAGATTTGGATGAGGTTGAGTGGATCTGGGCCCTGAGTCCTGTTCTTAGTGCCCCCAACATTTCTTGGAAAAAAACTCCGCCCGCCATTTTGGGTCTTAATGCTTACCTTTTCCATTGGCTCACGTCTCGCTTTTCCGGAAATGTCTCTCGCTTTTCTCTCTCTTCAGCCACAGGCCTGGCTGGATCGCGCTGCTGCCCTACGAGAGCAAAGAAGGGTGGGGATGGAGTGGGGGAACCGGGGAAGGAGTCCAACTGCTCCAACTTCGATTAGGTCTGGGAGGTCCAGACCTGCGAACACCCACACTCGTGGGAGGGAATAGAAGGCATTTAGCTTGCAAGCGCTGGCTCTTTGAGTGAACACATACTAGTAACAAAGGGCATCGCTACTAGTAGCAAGAAGCTACTAATAGCTCCTGGCATTACTATTAGACTATTAGGAACAAGAAGCTACTAGTTGTTGGCATGTGGAAGTGCGACGCACGACAGTTGCAGCCCTCTTCGTCACCCGTTTCCACCCCATTTTCCACCCGGACGTCGTCCGTCAACCGCCTCGGTCCCCGGGGGCCATTGGGTGTCTTCCCTCCCGGACGACACGGGTGTCTTGTGGACCACTTCTTGGGAACCCAGTTTTCTCCTCTTTCACAAAGCTCAACCTGAAAGGATTTGCTAGTTCTATCCACCTTCAAGCTTGTTGTTCAGAAAAATCTTCGGGAACTCCGCATCTCTTCTGGCCAGGGATTCGGGTTACTAATCGTCCAACACTGTCAGGCTGAGAGGCGACAGAAGTCAACGACGGAGTCAAGGACGACGTGCAAGTTGTGCTTCTCGCGCACGTGTTGCTTTCATTCTGAACAGATTCCTGCTTATCATGAAGCTTATCATGTGTTGACTATATAAAAATCGTATGCAACATTGTATTATATATTTTGTTTTTCTATTATACTATTTGTCAAACATTGAAGCACAGTCAAGTACATGACCATGCAGTCACTCAGACATGTACCGCGGCTTGCCGTATCTCGGCACAAGACCCCACTTTTAAGGTGAAAAGGTTGCGCCCGCGCCATTTCATGGTAGCGGAGCGCTGGCCGTACTGAGCCGCGCTTCCGCATACGACGCGCACCACGAGCACCACGACGACATCCTCCACGAGGAGCCGGAGGTCCAGGCCATCGACAACAGGCATCTGGCTGGTGGAGCTTTTTGTGCTCGCTGGACTAGCAGGCGGTGTCGGTACTTCAGCGATCCAGGAGATCAACTACTTCCAGCCGAACCGTGTGACCCCCAAGGCTGGAAAACTCAAGAGAAGACAGTTCCACACAGTCACCTTCGAGACTGCAGAGTACCTCACTCGAGTTCGGTGGGTGAAGAGCGACAAGGCCGTCAGGGCCTTGATCATCTTCCAGAAGAGGAGAAACGGGAGATTGAGTGCTGATTTGAAGGAGATTTTGGTGGTGATACCATCCAAGTGGAAGTTCATCTCCAAGATTGAGGAGTTGAGGCGAGAAACGCCAAAGGAGAAGATCTGTGAGCTTTTGTCAAATTGGTGCTTCTGGGAGTTGCTGGTCTATAGCGGACTGGAGTTCAGCCCGGAGGAGAGCATTGAGCCTTCTTGCACCACCAAGTCGTACTATCCAAAGATCTGGAGGATTGGAGCAATGGCGGAGGAGAGCTTGAGGTTGGTTGCAAGTGCATTGGAGCGGCTTACGGTCAACCAGACCACACAAGGTTGGGCACGACATCTCAAGCCGCCTGATGTGTTCAAGCCGGACACACGTGACAATGAGCTGAAGTTGTGGGGAGATTGGAAATTTTCATTTCTCAACTACATCAAAGGGATTGACCCCACCATGGCAAATGACATGGACCATGTCGAGAGAGACCTTGACGCCAGCTATGACCTGGATGACATGACAGATGAAACAAAAGGAAGATCAGTTCGGTTGTACAGTTTGCTGACTTCATATGTGCGGCAAAGGCCACTGAAGCTGATCAGGCATGTGAAGAAAGAGAATGGCTTTGCAGCTTGGCAGATCCTATTGCGGGAACTACAACCTGCGACAAGAGCTAGGTCTTTGGCCTTGTTGAGCCAGCTCTCAAGAGTGCAATTCGCAGAAGGGAAGACGGTGGCAGAACAGTTGCCACAATATGAGTCCCTCATCAACGAGTACGAGCGCATCTCAGGTCACACCTACAGCGACGATGCAAAAGTGGTGCAGTGCTATTGGCATGTCCGATGCAAATCAGACAGCGCTTGCACTTGTGGATCACAAACACCACTACGTATGAACAGCTGAAAGACAGGATCATTCAGTTGAAGGCAATTTCAACAAGATGGGACAGCTCCAATTCCCTGATGTTGCCCACTCGTGCCGCAAGTGATGAGGCCACACCTATGGAGGTTGACTGCGTCGGGAAGTCATGGGACAAAGGTGGCAAGAAAGGCGGCAAGAACAAAGGCAAGGACGCCAAAGGGAAGCAGAAGGGCAAGGAAAAGGGAAAACAGAAGGATGGCAAAAGAGCATGGAGACCTGAGAAAGGAAAGACGCTCTGGGAGAAGGGACCTGGCAAGAAAGGAAAATCAAATGACAAGGGAAGCAAAGGTGGCAAGAACAACAAGTGCCACAATTGCGGCATCCCAGGACCTTTTGCCAAGGACTGTTGGAAGCGTGTGAATTAGATAGATAGAAGACCAACAGCAGAATCCAGGTGGCGCAAGTTCTTCTTCGACAGGAGGTCAAGCTACAGCTCAGAGTTCAACAACCGCCAATGTCAAGATGGTCCGATTGGAAACGCCTCCAGACACCCCATCTATGGAAGTGTTCGACCTGACCACTCCGAGGGATGACAGAAGTGGATATCCTTGGAGAGTTGGGATGATCTGGTGCGAACGCCAGGACAGCGGATGTGAGACTGTAGATGAGGAGTACATGGGCTGCCACGAGCCCGAAGTGGATGTGCCACAAGGAGTGAGCATTGTGGCATTCGACCTGCAGGACAGTGAGGAGGATGAGCTGCAGGTGAATATGGTGAAGATTGAGGAAGCTGGTCAAGACAGCTGTGGGTCAATCGCAGCAAGAATCCACTGAGCTCAAGATGGTGGATGCACAAGGAAAGAAAATCGCCCACGATGGAGTGACGAAAGCTCGCATCCACATCGAAGACAAGAATGGCAAGGTCTTCGAGTTGCTGGAGGACTTTGTGCTTGGAAATGTCCAGCATCCCATACTATGTGCTGGAAAGTTGCTGCGCAGAGGATGGAGTCTGCAGAAGGCTGATGGAGGACCTCTGGAGCTGAGGCATGGAGAGAAGGGCATTGAAGTGCCAGTGAATACAGAGCGAAATTCTTTGCAACTGGCAGCTAGGATCTTCACTGCGACAGGAACTTCGCCAACATCGAGCCCAATGCGATCCACGTCGAGCCCTACTGCCAGGATCTTTGCGTTGACTGGATTCGTGAGCAAGTATGTGCAGGAACTCGAAATGGCTCCAGGCTGGCGCAGACTACCCAATGGAGTAGTTGTCTACAGTGACCCTATTGCTCTTCGCCTTGCGGACCCCAAAGACAGCATTGAGAAGGCCTACAAATCGAGAATGACCCTAGTGAAGGAGAAGAACGGCCAATGGACGCAACTGGAAAAGGTTGACGACATCAATGCTGGAGGATCTGAAATGTTCCGGAAGATTGGCATCAATGATGAGCCACAGCGGACTTTGAGCTTCTTCGCACCAAGCAGATTCAAGGACTACTGGGAGCATGATTCAGAAGTTCCCATTTCTCCATTTCCTGAGCCTGAAGATGCAATTCAATCTGTCGAGTGGTCCAAAGATGATGCAGAGGAAATTGAGGAGATGGAACAGCAGGTGGAAAACCAAGACATCGAGAAGCTTGTCATTGCAAAGCATCCTCATGAGGTGGAGTTGGACAAGACCTCAGTGAAAGATCTCCAGATGGCATGCAAGGAGAGAAATCTGCCTTACACAGGAAGCAAGAAGAGACTCCTTGAGCGGTTGATGAACTTCAAGATCAACATCGAGACGCAGATGCAACTTTCAATCGCAACCAAGATCTACAAGGAGCAGCAGAGGATTCCAGTGACCATTGGTCAACCAAAGCTTCCAAGTCTGGCAGAACAAGAAAGACACTTCATCACACACATGCCCTATGCAGGATGGTGTCAAGCTTGTGTAGCAAGTCGGGCGAAGGAAGACAAGCGTGTGAGCAGAGAAGAGCAGGAGGATCAGGGCAAGAACCTAATCCAGATGGACTTCTGCTACACCTATACAGGAGAAGATCAGCGAGGAGATGAGCCCACGCTGGGGAAGGTCCAGGAGCGACAGGACCAGTTCGGAACATGCTTGATCTTGACAAGCTCTGAGACGAAGGCTATCCATGCAGTGCCAGTGCCTTCTAAGGGCACTGCAAGTCTCAAGACGATCACGGAGGAGGTTGCCAGATTCGCCCTTGAGAATTCCGCGTATGACCCAGTGATCTTTCAGGCTGACCCAGAGAGAGCCACGCGCCAAATTTTGAGGTGACACACAGAGGGCACGAATTCCTACTTTGGAGGTGGAAGCAGAGGAGAACGAAATGAAGGAGATTGCTGCTGACGTGGCGTCCGGGTTGATTGGACCTACACCCGGGCTGAGGACACCAGTGCCGAGGACACCAGGAGTCGGACAGGCGGCCCCGGGGACACCAGCACCAGGTACCCCGGCACCTCAGATCCCGCAAGCTGGAGTGAAGAGAACTCTGGAAGAAGGTGAAGATGAAGGACAAGGGGCAAAGAGGATTGATGATAGCACTTCGCCGAGAAGGATGCATGAGAAAAGAGAGGCACATGGAGAAGTTGAAGAGCAGGAGAAGAAACAGAAGGTGGAGGACCCTTCAACAGATGTGCGAATGCCAGAGAGTTCACCACGTGGATCACCCTCCAACAGAGAGCACCTCTATCCACCAGGATATGCAGGCGTCAATGCCGTGAGCATGGAGGTTCATGGAGATGATGAGGTAGATTGGAATCTTATTCCTGACGAGGTTGAGGAAGAGTTCATCTATGGGGGCGAAGAAGACGATGATCCGCCTACGGTGACAGAAGAAAGACAGGCAAAATTGGACAAGCAAGCGTGAGAGAAGGAAATCCAGAGGATGCTGGAAGCATCGCTTGGAGATGGGAGGATGGTTTGGGCGAGCGCGTAGTGGCAAGACAGTTCAGGTCTTCCATAGACCTTGAACAAACGTTCGCTCCCACGTCGATGATGATGGTGCCAAAACTTTTGATCCACTTGATCGGGAATGTCTTCACGATTTTCAAGGCTATGGCTTTGGACATCAAAGACGCCTTCCTCATGGCACCGCAACCGGCAGATGAAGTTGCCTTCGTGAGAGTGGATGGAAGAATCTTTCGACTTCTTCGATGCCTACCGGGTCAGAGAACTGCTGCATCGCAATGGTTCCAATTGTTTGCCTGAGCATGCATGGACTTGGGGATGAGTCAAGACGCCATGCAACCTGACGGTACACGTCGACGACGTCTTCATGGCGGGAACAGAAGAGAAACTGCAACAGTTCGTGAACTACCTGAAGAAGGAGAAAGAATGGACAGTTGAGGAGAAAGGTCCATTTCCACCAGGGAGCAAATTCCATCTGAAGAGGCAATTCGACTGGTGGAAGAGAAGCTGCGCAATTCGATGTGACCGCAAGCAGTACGACAATCTGGAGAAGGATGTACCTGCAGTGCACAGCAGATTCTACAAGAAGACTCCAATGAGCTCAGACTTTGGCAAGAAAGATGAGAGCCCAGAGTTAGAAGGTGAGACCATCACAAAGTACAGGAGCATAGTTGGCAAGCTGATGTACATCTCCGGAGAAAGGCCAGACGCACAACATGCAATCCAATGTCTGGCCAGGAGCACGTCAAAGCCCACTGAGATGGCTATGAAGAATGCTGAACATGTGGTATCTTACCTCTTCGGCACCAGTGGCTATGGAGTGATGATGGACTCGCGAAAGCGAGGACAGTCCGTGATGGACGAGAGGTCAGAGGAAGAAGCCACTGAAGCTACAGAGCATCTCATTGAGGTGGTGACAGACGCCGACTATGCTGGAAACAAGAACGACCGGAGGTCGACGAGCTCTTTCCAAATCTTTGTGGATGGAAACCTGGTTGAGTCCAGGATGAGGGCCCAGAAGGCAATCGCTCTCAGCTCTGGAGAGTCAGAGTTCGTGGCCATGGTCGCAGGATGCTCAGAAGGTCTGTTGGTGAGACACCTTTGGAACAGGTTGACCGGGCGATCATGCACGATGAAGGCAAGGTCAGACAGCTCGGCAGCAAGATCAATGGTGCAACGACAGGGGATTGGCAGGGTGCGTCACCTCGACGCATCGTTGCTTTGGATCCAACAGAAAGAGAAAGAGAAGATTTTGTCGGTCGCCCCAATCCCGACAGATTTGAACTGTGCGGACGTCGGGACCAAGAACCTAGCCAAAAAGAGGCTGCTTGGACTGCTATACATGTTGAAGATGGTGAATGCAGTGTATGACAGGATCGGAGAAGAAGAGTATGAGGAGATCGAGCGCACCTACCAGATCAAGCAAAGCCACAAGCAGATTGGGAACAAGAAGGCTTTGAGAGTATGCTTACTTCTGCTGCTGGCAAACATCGACTTCATCATTGTGGTTGCCCACTTGATGGACATTGAGAAGGTAACGATTCAGAACACGGAGAATGAAGTGAGGATGATCCTAGAGCGAAAGGATCAGGCGACGCAGGCAACATGCCTGGAAGACAACAGCATGCAGAAGAAGATGGATGAAGAAGTGGCTGAAATGCAAGCTGAGTATGTGAAGCAAGACATGTACATCGAACAGCTGGAAGAAAGGGTCAAGGAGCTACAAGAGCAAGCAGCTGAAAACTTTCAGATGTACGAGTTGGAGAGCCGACATGCCCGGAAGTTGATGAACCAGATGATCAACCTACGGAAGACCCCAAAGGGGCAATGTGTACATTTCTCCACGAGATGCCCTCATTTCCAAGAGGCACTCAAGTTGGAGCTTTGTAGATAATGTCTGAGTGATGGGGACGTGTCAAACATTGAAGCACAGTCAAGTACATGACCATGCAGTCACTCAGACATGTACCGCGGCTTGCCGTATCTCGGCACAAGACCCCACTTTTAAGGTGAAAAGGTTGCGCCCACGCCATTTCACTATTGGTTTATTTTATACTATATTATGTCATATTATGCTGTATTAAACATGTTTAAGATACTATATATATTATATACAGTACACATACAGGTGATTGCTCACCAGTACGTCCCATTGGAAGGACGGTCATGACAGACCTGAGAGGAAACGAAACTCAGAGGCCGAAGTGAGAAACCAACCGTCTACCTGTTTTGTTGGCACCAGTGGTGTGCGCCATTGGGTTCATCCGAAGTTCATAGGGATGGCCATGCACTCATTCCAATTCCATCGATGAGATGCTGATAGGGGATGAACTTCTTGCGTTCCCTCCAGTCCTGGACGACTGAAAGCCTGAACATTCACGTTCCACCATGTCCCATATCAGGGATGGTCAAAGTTCTGGTAGATAGTCATAGGCCTTAGGTTGATTGGGAATGACACGAGGGTGAAATGGGATTTTCCTCCACTCTTCTGTCCCTTGGGTGAACAGTTGACTCAAGCAGCCACGGCAGCCACCCTTCACTCCTACCAGGACCCCCCTGTTTTGGAGGATTCCTCTACTTCTCGCCACGCGCCCTCGGAGCTCCAGGAGAACTGTGCAGACCTACAGCGATGTGAGATCTTGGGAAGGAGGCGCTGGCCTCCTTCTCTGGCCACCGTGCTTGTTCCATGACATGTCCAGCCTTGAAACGAGAGAACAACAAATCCTTTTTTGGGGTGGAAGCCAGGTTCAAGCCATCCACGAAGGTCTTGATTTGGTCACATGAGGAGCTGCTTGGTGGGGCAAATGGATGCAAATGGTTCTTTTGACATTTAAAGAACATTACACAAATTTATGTCTCAGGTGGGGAAGCCGAACTTTCTGTATCCGCATCAATGAACCTACCGGGGTGGTTTGCCCACAAGGCTTGGAGTGGATGCGCTTAGGCCACATGTATTTCTTAAATTTGTCCATCTACATCCGACATTTGGACGCCATGTACTGAGTGATAGAAGTAGATACTGAGGCTGATCTTGACATTTGCAGGGTGTACCTTCATCGTTGAAGACCATTTCTCACTATGAGAAGAGTGCAGCACCCTCCTGTCAACTCTTTCCCTCAATGGCTGTGGGTTTCGCCCACAATTGTGGATGTGACGCAGTGAGTCTTGCATCCCTTGCAGATCGAAGTGCACACTGAATAGCTTCTTAATAGCTAGCTATGAGATGGTAGGACTCCGGGTTTGGTCCCCGTTTGTTTGGTCTCTGTTTTGGGGCCCAAAATCTCTCTCTCTCTCTCTCTGGATCCACGATCTTGTGGCCACGATCCTTTGGGTCGCGCCACAGGTGAGCCTCATTTAGAACCAGGCTCTCTGCAGGCGATCCGACGGTGCTTTCTCCAAAACGAGTGACTGGTGATCGATTTGTCTCTCTAGGTTGGGGGGGACTTGGTTGAGGGGACCTCGATGGCTTGCGGGGCGTGATGGGCAGGCTGGGGGACTGATCCCAATCCGCGTGGCATGACCCAGACGTGCGTGGCATGGAGATGGAGATCAGGCGGACCCCAGGACCCAGAGGTCTTCACGAAACCCCAGCTTTGCATTGGAGATGACGAAGATGTCCGTGGCTGGTCGTTGAAGATGAGCTAGTCGTTGCGTGCCAGTGCCGTTCTTTCCGGGTGGTCGTTTTGATAAATCTTCGTTCTTTCCGGGCTCTGAGATTCGACCCCCTCAAGCGTCGAGCGTTTTTTTTGGGACCAAGTGATTTGATGACAGCTTCGGGGTCGCCTTGCTGACTCTGCTTTGGGGCAGTGACTCTGACTCCAAAGGCTAGCTCAAGGCTTGTGTCATGGTCTTGAGGCGTACCATTGGCCGCCAAGAATAGTATACAAACAACATGCAAGTTCCTGAACCAACTCTCTCTGTCGAGTGACCTCCGGTCCGGCGATGCCCTTGCAAAGCACCTGTTGGGGTCTTCGGATTTCATAGCCTTCAGGGGCCGAAAGATTACATCCACTTTCCTTCCATGAAAGGGTCTCCCAGGCTCGATCGACACGTCAACATGCGAGCGGTGCATTTTTGGACCACAGAGCAGTGTGGCCAGTGGTCAGTTCAAAAGGAGTCCGACGTGCTCAGTTAAAAGGGCAAAAACCGATGGGCCTGGGGTGTGGTCCGACTCCTTCTGACTCGCGCAGCTCGTAGGCTCTCCATCCGCCGCTTGGAAGAGCCCCAGGTGAGTCGTGAGGTTGAGCAAACCCCGCATCGAAGCCATGGCAATCTATGGAATATATGCCAAATGTAGACTCGCCAGATGAATCACCTCCATTTGGATTGAACAACCTCTTCAGGCCTGGGGGGTGTTGATTCATCTCTTCAGGCCTCTACACGGGTCCCCTTTCCACTCCAACGAGTCGGTTTGTATGCCATACAAACATCTACAAGCCACGTCTGTTCCTACACATGATAGGGGAGCAGGGTCTCGGGCTGGGCCGGGCGGGATGGGATGACACCCGGCCTGCGGATGGGGTCAAACCTGGCCCCCCCCCCCCCCGCTTGACCGAAAAACGAACAGAATAGACTACAGTGAGGAGTTCAAGACACTCCGGGTTTTGACCCAGAGCCAATGACTTCAGAGCCTACCCTTCAGCCTTGGTTGCCACTTCAAGGTCTCCAACTGGTCGCAGGTGCCGATACAGGGGGGGTTCTCAGATTCTACTGGCAGGTGCCAGTCAAATCCAAAGCACCCTTGGTAGAAGACGCTGTTTTCGGGGGGTGAAGATGACTCTTGGGCAACTGATTATGAGACAACCTTCCTGCCCAGAGCACCCCAAAGAGGTGAAGAATCACAGGGTTTCTTCCAACCGAATCTCCGGGCGAACTCCGAACGGCGGTGCTCCAAGGCTTGGATGGGAGACTGGAGAAGCTCAAACTCTTTTCGTTCCCGAGGCCGAATTGGCTTGGGGGTTTCTTGGGGAGGTGGGACACATGTGGTGGGGGTAGAGAGCTCTCTCTTCCCTGCTGGGTGGAGTTCTGGTGCTCGGACCTTCGGAACGTCGCCCCGGAACGACCTGTGGAACGTGCGCGACCGGCGGCCGTGCGCGAGACGTCACGTCGCAGGTGCCGGATCGGATACCCATGTTTGAGGGAAAGGGCCGCTTGGAGTGGAGGATCGATGTGGCGCGAGGGACGTGTGGAAAGCTCGTCCTGTTTTGGACGGGCGAGGGAGATGTGTACGAGAAGTCAAGTGGATACTTTTTGGAAGAGACTGATGTGGTGGATATTCACACCGCTTCGCGGTCGACGCCCGCACAGAGTAAAAGGAAAACAGACACACACACACACAGACATAGACATCCATCCATGCATACAGACATACATACATACATGGGAAAAGTGTGCCATTAGCACCCTACCGCTCGGCATCAACCTGCGCTCGCGGAGCCGGGAACCAGTAACTTGTGCTCTCGGAGCCGAGAGGAAATGTTAACCGTGCTCAAGCGTGACTATAGCCCTATCTAACCATCAGCCCCTTCACTGAGGGTTCTGTCTCGGTGTGCCTGTCTCGGTCTGTCAGTCTGTCTGGCTGGGTCGAGCAGGACACACGGACGATGTCAATTGTTTGTCTCGGTCTGTCTGTCTCGGTCTTGGTCTGTCTCGGTCTCGGTCTGTCTGTCTCGGTCTCGGTCGGTCTGTCTCCGTCTATCTGTCTCGGTCTGTCAGTCTGTGTCTCGGTCGGGCAGGACACACGGACGAGCACAAGCACGATGTCAATAATGCAGTGTCCCCGGGTTGCACATGCATCTGCGATGTCGATAGTGCGAACTTCCCCGGCCGGCATAATCTGCATCTCCAACATTTGGCCCAAATGCACTAACATTCAAAAGCACTGCAAAGCACAGCACTTCCCGAAAGAAAACGCATCCCTCCCCCAAGCTAAAGCTTGAGACTTCCGATTGCTGCTGATGCGAGCCTGCACAACGCCCTCAGCACCTTCGGCGCGTGCGGATTTTTAATCTCTTAACCTTTCTTGGTATTAGATCTGTGACGCAGGTCTCATGTCTCCTTTTTGGTACTGTGAAGACTCAAGACTCAAGACAAAGCATGGATAGCTTGGGAGATTTGCCCACCATAACACCCAATGGGCTTCTTTCAGGAAGATGAGTAGGGCAAGCACCCACATGGGCCATCATGGGCCCATGGGTGTTGTACTTATATTGTATGATGTGGTCTATAGACATTGATGTTGTTTCTTTGTGGGGAGGCTTGCCAACGTTCTTGCTTGCTCGTTTTTGCAGTAGCTAGCTGCCATACGTCTATTGTCACCGGACAAAACGGATGGTCGTCCTAGGCAAGGCTTTGGCATATGGAAAAAGCACACAGGTCACAGCTGGCTTGCAAGTAGGCTCCGGAACCACGCGAACTTAGCCCTGTGGTGACTCCAGTCCTTCATTTGTTCTCTTTTGCCAGTGCATGTCTTGGGATGAACAGATAGCTGGAACGTAGGTTGAGCGGTGTCTGTGTACCAAACCAGAATACATTGGCCATCTCATCCGTGATTTTTTCCAACGGTACTGGCCAGGTCGCATCTCAGTACGCACCAGACCTGACAACGCCCCAAAACATTGAGTCGGGGAGTGTCTGATGCAACTGGTAACATTCATTTTGATTCAGGTCACTGGTGGTCCTACCCTGGAGATCCAAGAACTGGGTCTCAACATCTCCAGCACCACAGAAGAGATGAACGTTTGGTGTTTGTACTGTACTTCAGAGATGAGGCGGTCTGTGCTTGTTTGGTTGGTTCTGTGAAAATAATTCACCGACCCTCCCTCCCTCTCTCCCTCCCTCCCTCCCTCCCTCCCGCTCACTTTCTTTTCTTTTGTCTCTGTTCCTAACCTCCGGGGAAACTCTAAGTGTTTCATCTGATCAACCTTCGTCCGCAGCAGTGGGAAGCACCCCCACTGGGGCCAAACCCCTGACGGGCCCGACGGGCCCAACGGGCCCGACGGGCAACGGGCCCAACGGGCCCAACGGGCCCCCAACGGGCCCCCCAACGGGCCCCCAACGGGCAACGGGCCCGCCATGCGTTGTCTCCACATGATATTTTAAAAAAACCTTATAATACAATTGTTTAGTTAGTTAGTTACTTAGTTAGTTAGTTAGTGAGTTATAGTTAGTTAGATAGCTAGTTAGTTAGTTAGTCAGTTAGTCAGTCATAGTTAGTTAGTTAGTGAGTTAGTTAGTTAGCAATTTAGTTACTTAGTTAGTTAGTTTGTTACTTACTTAGTTAGTTTTATAGTCAGTTATAGTTAGTTAGTTAGTTAGTTAGCTAGTTCGTTACTTAGTTAGCTAGTTATAGTGAGAATTAGTTACTTAGTTAGTTAGTTACTTACTTAGTTCGTTAGTTAGTCATAGTTAGTTAGGTAACTAGTTACTTAGTTAGTTAGTTAGTTAGTTACTTAGTTACTTAGTTAGTTTTATAGTCAGTTACAGTTAGTTAGTTAGCTAGTTAGTTACTTAGTTAGTTAGTTGTAGTGAGAATTACTTAGTTAGTTAGTTTGTCTTAGTTAGTTAGTTAGTCAGAAGCGTTCTCCTTTTGCCCGCTTTCTTTCCTATCTTCTTTTTTTTGCTCTTTTGGAAGGGGCCACCTGCTCATTAAACGTCAGGGCCCGGAACACAAAGCGGGGGAGATTGAACCTGGAACCTGTGAGGTCTGAAGCTAACCGAATGGGAAAAAGACTTATCTTACTGCCAGAGGCTATGTGGAAAGGAGGCCACATGTATTGACACACCATGTTCCGACTCTTGTTCTGACGGGCAACGGGCCCAACGGGCACAACGGGCCCAACGGGAACCCAACGGGAACCCAACGGGAACCCAACGGGAACCCAACGGGCAACGGGCCCAACGGGCCCCCAACGGGCCGGCCCCAGTGAGGGTGCGACCCCAGTGGCAGATCGCTTTGAGGCTTCAGAGGTTGCACCCTTTCAGCCAGGATCCTACATCAATCCACTTGTGTACTCCCCTGCTGAAGCTGAAGTCAATGGAAAATCAACAGCTGAAACATGACCCTCACTGAATCCTCGCCAACTTCCTCTTGATCATTGCAGTCACCATTCATCATCAGTTTAACATCATCTTCTTCTTCTTCTTCTTCCTCCTCCTCCCTTTTTTCATCATCATGTTCTTCTTCATTGTCTTTAGCTTCATAATGGTCATCTTTCTCTTCCTGTTCTGTATCTTCCTCTATCTTCCTCACCTTTTGCCCAACTTGTTCAACTCCCCCCCGAACGGATTTTAAACCGTCCGCACATCCGAGGAAAAACAAAGAACAAAACTTGGAAAGGCTCTCAGAAGGGCGGCACCCCAAAGGGGTCCCAGGCGGGGCTGGCTCCGGCACTGGTGGAGGAGCGCTTGGACTCCCAAAACCACTGGGGTTAGTCTTCACAAAAGGGTCTATTCTCCGCTCGCTTGCTGGAGAAAACCATCTTTTTTCGGGGGATCTATGCTTGCAATGCTGATCTTGGACATGGAAAATGGAACAGTTCGAAGGTTGGTAGAGTACTCGAAACTTTCCGAACTCCAAAAGATGTCACCCTCACTGAGCTCGATCCTTTGGAGAGTTTGGAGGGCGTGTCCCATTATATAGCAAACAGTAAGAGTCGGTGAAGGATGATCACTATTTTGGAGAAAGGTCTGCAACCCAAGCATCATCATTTGCTCTTACTGGCAATTGGGATTTTCTCAACTTGGGACTTGGGACGGATGTGCTTCATTTTAGCGAAAAGAACGTCCACCAAGAACCGAGATCGACCTTGAAATGTGGGTGGAAACCACACATTTCGGGGGCTTCGGGAGTTGAACATGCGAAACTCGACAGGGCAAGAAAGGTTATAAAGATGCTACAGGCTCCTTGGATGCATTGAGGTGACCGACCGACGGCCTCCAGTGTTTTGGGGGCCTATAGGAGTGGGCATGATCGAACATAAGGCCCGAGAAAGGGGTAGGGTTTGCAGGAGACCCTGCAAAAATGGCCTCGGAACTCCTCCACCCTCGCCAAGGGAGGTTCCACGAATTGTCCTGCAAGTCTGATCTGTACACTCCCTGTACTCAATGGAAGAGGAGAACCACCTGTTTGTAGAGGAACATGGTCATCCAAAGGGCCAATGCCATCCACTTCCATTATGATTCCAGGGAGTGTATCACTTCTGAAGCGTGTGACTTTGAGCAACTCAGAAACAGGTCAGAAGTTTCTGTTGAGCAGCCTCTCGAGCTTGTATCACCTCTCGAGCCCACTGACATGGATTGTGAAAAGTGTCACCACCCAAGAAGGGAACCTTCTTCTCAGTCGTTCCAGTTCGTGAAGGGTGACAGAGAAGACATGAGCACCCAGTACAGTTTTTATCCATCTTGGTCTTTGGAAGAGGTTCCGTCCTTCCCTTTGAAAAGCCACTTAACCAACCAGGAAAGTAATTGCTGACAGCAGCAATGCTTCTCCTCATCCAACCAGAGGAAACGCTTTTCTTGGTCAAACAGGCGAAAGTAGTTGGCTCAAGAGGTGCCACCCCTGCTTTAGAACTCCTGAGATTGGGCAGAACTGGGTCATGCAACATGGTTTTAGTCGATCGGTCCTTCTCTCCAGATCTTCTATGCAGGGATCCCTTTTCGGGGGTGGCTTTGACCCTCTCCTTAAATCGGCCTGCCGATTGACTTCTACCTCTGGACTGGTGCACCCTGCGCCCTGCGCCCTCTGCCGACGCGACCCAGACCTTCGCCCTCCAAGGCGAAGCGCGAGGACAGCGCCCCGACGTCAGGGGATCGGCAGGAGGTTCCTGCGATTGGGTGATGCCCTGACTTCGCACTTCGGGTGGATTGAAAGAAGAAGCTTTGGGCGTGATTTGGGTTCCTTCACGTGTATCGATCCCGGAACACTGGACGACCTCGCTTCCAATCCCTTCCGACATCGCTTCCGACATCTCTTCATGGGGCGTTCACATCGGCTTCACCAGATCAGCCTTCGGTCTGATCGCTCGAACACCGAGGCTTGAGAACCGGGAGACCTCGACGCGGACGGTGAGCGAGGGGGGACTGGGTCGGTGTTCGGAACCGGTTCCCGTCTCGATCGAAAGAGGTCCGGTGGAGATCTGGTGATGGTGGGAAGTTCATTCATTCAACAGAAACGCGTCAAGAAACGAACACATGTTTTATTTCTTTAAATAATGGGCCTCCAAAAAGAGTGAGAGAGTAGCAGCTCAGAAGCAGCTCAGAAGCAGAGTTTTTGCCGGGGTCGTGGAGCCGAGATGGGGGTGAAAAATCCTCCAAGAAGGGTCGAACTGAGGAGCAGGAGAATCGCTTGGTCCTTTGACCTTGAAACATACTCACCATACTCCTTGTTCAAGCACCTTTTGAGGTGAAGCACCTCGCCACTCATTGCACAAAGAGGGCTTTTGTTTGGCCAGTTCCCTTGTGTGAAGAACATAAACCATCCCATTGAGCTCGCATTTCTCTTCACGACTTCAAACAGGATCTTGGTACAGTTTCTCTCACCTGTCTGCGAGTGAGGGTTTGGGGCCCGGACTCGGTGCTTCTACCGCTTCGCAGGCCGCTCCAGACATCACCATCCATGGCACTATGATGCAGCTTTGATGCCGGCGTCATCCCCCGTGCTGATCATGGGATCAGACCAGTTAGAGCCATCCACAAAAAGGTGAGGGCTCCCCCATGCACTAGTGACTTTTAGGCACGTGGAGGCTGAGGCTGTGCTTGGCCGGTCTCATGTGGATCCACCAAAAACCCATGGAAGGTGCCACTGGTTGAAGCAGCAGAGATTGCCTTGAAACTGTTTGGACTCAAATGGAGATGGGTCAAAACCTGGAGCCCGATCGGTCCACCATGTAGCTGACCTTCCAGCCAGGCCAACCGGTCGGTTATGGTGTCAGCTCCCCACAGCCACATGGCTCGCATGGATGAATTTTAAAACGGTAGTTCGAACCCCTGAAGGAAGGAAATCGACCAGTCTATCCATTCCCCAGGTGATTGGAGACGCTGTTATGTAGGTTTCGAGGGTCCAGGTACCTTCTGAGAAGGTACTTGGATTCCTAGGGATTGGTTGGGGATTTTCCTATAAACATACACACCCGCTTGGGACGATCTGCAGGTCTCTTCCCTCGGACGTTCGATCACTGTCCGGATTGATGAAGGGCAGAGGAGGGTCCAGTTTGGACTTCAAGATGCGATGTTTTCACATTAATTGACCTTAGATCGATCACGTTTGTTTTTCTTTGCATAGTTTCGTTGACTATAAGACTATCATCCATCCATCTATCCATTCATCCATTTTATATATTTGCCAGGAAAGATCCACGTGAGACTTTCTCACACGATCCGTCTCACCAAGACCGACAATAATGAAAATAGATCTCCAGATAGCATGTGCGCGATTTGCACCATGCATCGGTGTGCGAGCATGAGGACCGATGGTTTTGCTCCCCAAACTGCCCAAGATGGAACATGACACAGATGACCACTGCCACTGCCAAGCGGCTGACCAGTGTCTTCCCATTGCCACTGGAACACGGCGGTTGATCAGCTTTCAGAGATTCGGTGCTTCGCGGACGTGGGCGGGTTGGTTGGCATGTCCTGGCCGTTCCCCTTGATTCTCTCCGTTCGAGTCGCGTCCGATCGCTCCGTTCGAGTCGCGATGCCCGGGTTCCTAGTAGCGATGCCAAGTCTGAAGAGCCTGAAGACGCAAAGATGGGAAGAAAGAAAACAGCACTCGACCCCGCTGTGGCCCCAGTGGCCCCCCAGATTTGTTTGGACGTTTTTATTCTTTATCTTGAATGAGATACATGTCTTGTTGCTCTTCATGAAGCTGATGTGAATGCTTCAAGCAAAAGTGAGATACTGGACCAGGACCCCATCTCAGGTTTTCATATCAGTGTTTCAGAAAAGACATGTGAAAATTGGTCGTTTAACTGGTTTCTTTTTTTGTCCATGCAAGTGGGTTGTATGGGGCATGGCTGCCACATGTTTTGGTTCCATGGCCACAAGCACCCATCCGTTTGGAGCCTGGCTTCGACTCTGAGAATCTCGACGGACATTGTACCCTGCCTCCAAGGTCCTCATGGTTAGGTGGGGCCAGGGGCGAATGACCGTTTTCCTCTACAAACAGGGGAGCTGAAGATACACCTTGTCCTAGTCCTAATCGAGGATTAGCTCTGAAGATGAGCTGCCTTTTCATTCGCTGGCCTGCCTCTCCAGTTTCTTCTCTGTTATGGTTTGTGATTGTTTATCCCTGCATTAACTGCAGAGTTCAGTCCTACTGACTCTCCTGCTTGGGCCCGGACGTCTTTGAGTCCAGCTTTGATTCAACCAGTGTCGTTTGGGACTGACCTTTGTGAGATTGGATATTCAGTCACACTTTCCTTTGCAGTTTAACACCAAAGTCCTACTTACCTCGGCACTTACTGTATTCTCTTCAGCTTTGACTGCCACTCCTGCTTTTCTTTGCCTCTTGCAATGAAAGCTCTGCTCATCACATGGTTGCTGCCAAGCTTGCAGTGCACCTGTTTTTTTTGCTCGCTAGCTGGGGAGCAGTTGCGGGAGTATTGGCCGATAGCATCTGGATGCTAGTGTCACCACTACCACTACCACTGGGACGATTACACCTTCTATACTATTGGTATTTCTAGCACGAGTTCTGCTAATTAATTACTGTTAATACCAAGACTACTATGACTACTACTTTTGCTTGGCTACTGCTACTGCTACTGCTACTGCCACTACTCCTACCCCCACTCCCACTCCCACTCCCACTCCCACTCCCACTCCCCCTCCTACTCCTACTCCTACTCCTACCGCCACAACAACAACAACAACAACAACAACAACAACAACCATTATATACTATTACGGTTACTGTGCTATTACCATGACTATGACTATTATTGCTGCTGCTGCTGCTACTACTACCACCACCAAAAATAGAAATAAACGCATATAAAAGCAATACTGCTACAGAAAAAGTTTGCTGCTCGTCCTCCAAAACCTACCCTTGAAAAGTTTGCTTCGCAGTTCATTCAGAGGGCTTGGCCATGTAGAAACCCAGCATTCTTCACTCGAGTTCAGCCAAGAGTTGGTCACTGGAAACCCACAAAGCAACTCTGGAGAGTTCAGTTATTTGTTGGAACCAAGTTCACAGACGCTTCCTCGAAGCTTCGCGCACCGAACCAACGCGTGGATCTCTTCCGCATCTTCACTCACGGACGAAGTCACCCTTTGAGTGGACCGAGTCACGAAGGGAAAGAAACGCCCACGAGTCACGGATCAGATCCAGTCCCTATTTGGCCACAACAAAGCCTTCCTTTGGCACCTCTTTCAGCATCGAAAGCTTAGACCCTCTTTCTTGAGCTTCAAAGGCTTCCCTTAATCTCCCTTTCTGGACCTTGGTCGAAAGGATCGATCGACAAGTGGACAAGTGGTGAGATTGGCGTTCCTATAACAGTAACAGTTCCATGTTAGTTGGACACTGGATGAAACGGGTGTAAACAACTTGGTGATTTGAGCATGGCATGAGGCACACGCCACAGCGGATGAATCCTTTTTGGCGATTACAGACGGCAGGTTCACTTACATGCTTCAATTCCTGTGGTGTCCAGTGCAAGAGTGCACTCAATCGGGGGCTCGTCAGACATTCCATCACGCTTCCGGCAGAATATTCTGCAGAGCTCATTTTGCATCACGACGACTGAGGACTTTGACGACTGAAGTCGTACTAGCTCCGGTTGGGACGGGATCGGAACGAAGTCGTGGCTCTTTTCATGTCCATTTGGTCTACTGGTTGCAGTTCCCGTGTGATGGTTGTCCGAAATGGATCCCTTCAGAGTCCCACAATAACCATTTGGCCAAGGTTGTTGATGGGATTGTTGGCCTGGGTTGATTCTGTTCAGTCTCCACTCGGGGTTTGGATAACCAATATCTCCTTTGTGGGGTTCGTCGATCAACTCCTGGATTCTTGTGTATTTTGCATAATTCCCGGGAGCATTGCCAAGGGTTCTTCTATAGAAAGGGTGCGCGTTACAGATCTGCATCAATACATTTGAGACTAACATAGCTACATTTGTAGGTATGCCACAAGTACATCTCCAGCTTCAGCTTCAGTTGTGGCTTTCTAGAGCTGCTGCTACGGAGGTAGTGCTACTACACTTGCTACTCGTAGTGCTGCAGTAGAATTGCTTTGGTGCTGGGATCTTGCTTCAGTGAACTGCTTTAGTGCTGGGATTTTGATTCAGTAAACATACCTGCTTCAGTAAACACACTTGCAACATATAGCTCATGTAACTTTCGCTGGGATATTGCTTCAGTAAACACAGTAGCTCATGTAACTTTGGCTGGGATCTTGCTTCAGTCAACACACCTGCAAAATACCTCAGGTAACTTTTTCTGAGGTCTTGCTTTAGTAAGCACACATGCAAAAGCAAGTATATGCTCAGTAAACCATAAACTGAGTTCGCGCGTGTGTGACAGGCTCTTTATATATCTATTCTTTCTTAGGCGGCGTTACGAAGCGTGACCCTCTGCGGAGATCGTGCGTGTCGAGTGCTCAAACCTGAGGTGAAATGCGAATTCCGGGCGTGCTGGATGAGATCGTGCGCGGCGAGTGCCCAAACGTGAGGTGAAATGCGAATTTTGGGTGAGACCGGTGAACCTTCTACGGAGATTGCGCGTGTCGGATGCTCAAACGTGAGGTGAAAGGCAAATTCGTGGTGACGTCGGTGAACCCTTTGCGGAGATCGTGTGTACGTGTTGAGTTGCCGTGTGTAACTGTCGTCGAAAACGAAGGTGGTGTGTAACTGTCGTCGAAGTGGCAACTTTTTTGCGCAAGTCAAGTACAGGCAGCAGCTTCTGGGAGCTGTGGCTGTGGCCTCAGAACTGGCAACTGTGTAACGCAAGTAGTGCGGGAAGCTGCCTTGAGAGTGCAAATGTCGGTGCAGCCAGCAGCTTCTGGGAGCTGTGGCCTCCGAACCTGGCAACTTTGTATTGTAGTGCAAATTTAGTCCGGGAAGCAGCTTCTGGGAGCTGAGGCATGGTGTTACATTGTTTATCTAGTCTGTCGCATGCCGGTGGCGACGAAACTACGTCTGTGATGTCGCTGTGCCGTGCGGGCTTCCGCCGCCTCGGTAGAAAGTGCGTTTGCGTGGGTTCGTGCGATTGGGGGAAGGGAAACATGCTGGCGTAAACCCGGCGTGTCACTGGGGAGCGGGATGCTTGGCGGTGTCCACGAGGCTTGGTGTTACATTGTTGTATCAGGTACACCTATGCCATTGACCTCTCCACACCAAGTCTCAAAAAGGATCCAGGCCACTCGTCGTTTAGTTTTAAAATTGTTTTGTTTATTCACTCAAGTTTAACAGGGGAGGCAGTGAAGTGTCCCTTTTCCAGTGACATTGAATCCTGGTCCCAGCCGGAGCGGGCCGTGAAATCGTGGATCGAGGCAGACTTTCAACAAAGCGCTTTTTCCGACTCCAAACCAATGCGCGCGTGGATCCGTTGCTCACTCGAATCTTACACCGGAGTCTCTTTCCGCCGAGCATCGAAAAACTCTCGGTGGGACCACCGCTTTTTCAGATTTGCAAGCCGGAAGAACA